TACTGTTTTCAACCAAGGCAGTTGGGAGTCTCTTCTATTATGTAGTAAAAATAAAGATATACCATAAGTGTCAGAAACACTTCACGGATGCCGTTCTGACTATTGCCAATTATCGGGCCACTAGAGTATGTCGTTTCAATAGTTACTTTTCATTCCTGTCCCCCTGAGGGATTGTAATTAAGGCACTACTTGTTATTTTCGTATTATATATATGCTATTATAGAATGTATTACTATTTAGTTTAACCTCTCTAGGCTTAAGGTTAAGTTTAACAACAAAACTTTGCCAAACCATTACATAACAAGGCTCAGCGTATCTCTTGCTCCTTGTGTGTGAGCGGGGAGGGACACTGGTGGGGTGAGCGTTTCGTTCAGTCCAGAGTCAGATAAAGGTTAAAGTCAATTGTTTGTGAAAGACACACTGTCGCTTTCTCTTTTAATGGGATCTTCAGGTTGTTTCTGAGAAGCTGATGCTCATGTCTGCTAGTGTTATTCTGCTCACTTCCTGTAGAAGTTTTCACCTGTTTCAAAGAAGATCGTCTAATAATTGTCATTTACTCACCCTCATGTAATTCCAAACCTGTATGACTTACTTTCTTTCTTCTGTGGAACACAAAAGGAGACGTTTTGAAGAATATTCCAAAGCAGTTTTGAATATGAACGTGCATCATTGTGATTTTTAGTGAATAATGACTAATTTTGGTCTAGTTCATGCATGTTGGAATATAGATCACAATACTGGCTACTTTTCATGTGCAGTTTGTCCAATTTGCAGTTTGACAGTCCCTGGTTATTATATACTTTCACTGTATGGAAAACAGCAGCATTAATATTCCTTAAAATTTCTCTTTTTATTAACAGAGAATAAAGAAAGTCATATAGGATCTCAAACATTTGGCTGAGTAAATGAAGTTTAATTTTCTTTGAGACTTGGATTACTAGAAAATGAAAACCCAACTGCGACCAAAGGGTTGTAACAAATGGGATTAAGAAAATTATGAAATGGAAATTATTCAAGCTGTTTAGAAAATGCAGAAAAGCATCATATTCTAATAAATGCAAATTGTAGGTGAGATTGCCTCTATCATGCTCCAAGGGTTATGCCTCGAAACTCTAAACGAGAGCGATAGAGAAGGATATACGGAGGAAGGAAGGGACGGAAAGAGCGAGTGACGGAAGGAAGGAAGGAGGGGGAGGGAGGAAGGGAATGAGGGAAATTCATTAGGTGTGGTGAAGTGTACCATTCTCATCAAGAGCAGAGCTCATTTGAACTCCATAATGAGCCTGAGATTAGGGGCTAAGGGGGGTTGTGCTGGGTGACTGACTGCTGACTTCATCACTTGTGCCGTGATGCTAAATATAAATGTACTGTTTTCAACCAAGGCAGTTGGGAGTCTCTTCTATTATGTAGTAAAAATAAAGATATACCATAAGTGTCAGAAACACTTCACGGATGCCGTTCTGACTATTGCCAATTATCGGGCCACTAGAGTATGTCGTTTCAATAGTTACTTTTCATTCCTGTCCCCCTGAGGGATTGTAATTAAGGCACTACTTGTTATTTTCGTATTATATATATGCTATTATAGAATGTATTACTATTACTATTTTTATAATTTATAATTTTTATATTAAGTTTAATTTTGTTATGTGCTTTTGATAATTTATTAGTTTTAGTTTATTAATTATTATTATTAATTAAACTAAAACTATTCCAATGGTTTTGGTAAATAAAATAAAGATGAAATAAAATATAATATCAGTTTTAAATGAAAAAGGGAAGTTAAATGATAAATGTTGCCTTGGAAACTAACTGAAATAAGTATGTTCAGGCATTAAAATGACTAAAACTAAAACTGAAAAAGGAAAATGGTAACACTTTACTTGAAACCTTGTATAAACATTGTATATCAAATGTATAATGCATTATATAAGTATTCATTATTATGTATTCGCAATAATATCTTTTCATAAAATTATAAACAAAGTTAAAATGCATTATAATATTTGCAGATTCTTACAATCTGAAATGATCTGTTTGTTGTGTGTTTTAATGCATTATACTTTGTAAGAGTCTAACAATGAATAGTTAAGGATTATAATGCATTATAACTGTGATTACAATTATTCATGATATCATACTATCCATTATAAGGTGAATTACAAGGCATTATTAATGCATTAAAATATATTTTTAATAATTATATATAAAGGCTTCAAGAAAGTGTTCATTTTTATTTCAGTTTTAGTCATTTTAGTACTTAAACTTATTTCAGTTAGTTTCAAAGGCAACAATCCTAATTTTTAATTAAGTTTCTTTTTTTAAATCTATTATTTATATATTACTTCAGTTTTATTTTAATTACTGAAATTTTTTTCAAACAGTTTTAGTTTTAGTTTACAACAACAACACTGATTCAGACAACTGCATATGTGTGCAAATAATTAATCAGAAAAATTAATTTTACAGCAATAAATCCATTACAAACTGTACAATAGTAATTCTAGTAATTCCATTTACAGAGAGCAAGAGAGATTTTTTGCCTTGGCTCTGACCTGAATCTCCTTTCTACCCAGAATCCTTAGGGCCATGGTGTATTTGTGTGAGTCGGACAATGTGAAGAGACCTCTGATTCATGGCAAACACTTACGCACACATGCCTTGTGCTCTCATAAGTGTACTTATGACACACACACACACACACACACACACACACACACACACACACACAGATCTCCAGGACACAGAATGACACACTTGTTTTCTGAGGACACTTTTGATGTGGGGGTGATGATGGATGTGTCGAGGGCAGCTTCATTTCTGCTGCTCTTCCGTGAGTCACAAACACTTACATGTGCACACTCATTTCAGGTCAAACCTGGGCACAGAATAAAGGAACAGTGCTTAATATTTTGATTGAGTTTGGAGCATTAAAGAAATAATTCTCTCGTCATCATAGAGATTTTGAAGTACATAGATAATATAGAGCTATATGTTGTGCACAGCATCTTACAGCACACATTTTAACCAAACCCATCTCTGATTCATTGACAATGAAAAAAAAGATTGAACGCCATCTAGTGGTAATAAGCACGCAGTGCGACCTTAAATAGCTACATTACAGAATGTGGATGAAAAGGAAGCTTAAATAAATAAATAAAAAAAAGCGATAAATTTAGTAATGAATCATTCATTCATATATGCAACTAAATACCTATTTACGACTGTTTAGTATTTGTTTGGAATAATTCCACACTTAAAATATTAGAGTAAGTAGGTTATAAATATAGTATTTGCTAATTCTGTAAACAGTCAAAGATTATGTCAGATCCTTACCAATTTTCTTGAGCTCATGGGTATTGACACACACAAAAATCACCTCATGACTCCACATTGATTCCATATTTAGATGTTGGCTGGTTGTGTTATTTGTGTTTTGCAAGTCAAATTGTCAAGACAAAAAAAAATTACGTTTGTAAGTGTTGATATGTATTTTTGTTATTTCACAACAGTCACAATTTCTAACACACAATGGTATATCTAACACCGCTATATTTAACGTCTTGTAAAGTCAAGCTTTATATGTCAGCATTTTTTAGAACAGGCCGGAATATTAGCCTTTATTCGCAGAAAATATCAGTTTCATTCGTTCAGCTTCTGTATATTTAAAACTAGCGCGTCAGGAGGTGCTCCAGAACAAATGAAGTTTGCGCGCAGTTTCTTCTGGCAAAAGATAAATATTTCCTCTAAATGAGACAGTAAAACTAAACTAAACATACAAGAACAACATTTAAGAACTGGGTAAAAGTGACATTTCTGTTGTGGTCACTCACCTTCACGGCACTCTAAACGCGAACGACAAGGCTGCGGTTTCTTGTAACTGCGGCTGTCAAGCTCAACAAAGTGTCATAAAAGTAGCCCGCTATATTTAACGTCTTGTAAAGTCAAGCTTTATATGTCAGCATTTTTTAGAACAGGTCGGAATATTAGCCTTTATTCGCAGAAAATATCAGTTTCATTCGTTCAGCTTCTGTATATTTAAAACTAGCGCGTCAGGAGGTGCTCCAGAACAAATGAAGTTTGCGCGCAGTTTCTTCTGCTCCGCCTACTTCTCCTAATATGGCATCGAGAGGGCCGAGCTTCCGGCTATATGCAAACAAACGCCATCACACTAGAAAATGGTAGACATCTGATATAATTTAGCATATTATATAAGGGTTAGGGAGCTGTTTTGGTCGCAGAAATTTTGATTTGGATGATAGAAATGAAGCTTTCTGAATCTTTGAATCAATTTCTTCATAAAATGGTTCATTAAAGAGTCTCGAATCCCATGCAGCTCTACAATAGCATAATATTTTAGAAAATATGAAAATATTGGCAAATAATCCACAAATTGTATCTAGAATTTCTAATAACGGATTTTTAAAGATTATATATTTAGATATTAGTTTATATGCCAAAAGAACCTTCAGTAAATGCCCGTTCAAGACACACACACACGCTAGATCTTTTTTGGAATGACAATATAATGAGATATTAGTTAGTCATGTTGGCATGCATTGTTTATATTTATTAAATTTTCAATCACTTTCCCATGGGCATATCTGAGACACTCTGCAAAGGTCAAGTCCAGCTTGGATTAATCGAGCTTCCATCAGGCAACAGGTATTTTAGGAAAACATCTGACTAAATAACTAACAAATGTGTAGCTGAAATTAACAGCAGCTGGAATTTGCTTCAACAATATCAGATTTGTATCACAATACACACCAGTTCCCCCCTCCAAGCTCAGGTTTTGAAAACTTGCCAATGCCCCAAAAGTTGACTACTTATTGTGACTATTTTAAAAAAATTAGACCGTAAACTACATGATGTGATAACTTCACCTGTCACCAAACACAATATGAGAGTCAACAACATTCACAGATAGACTACATGTGTCCTCCAAATGCTGCCAAAAACACATCAAAGAAATATACAAATAATCCACCCACGACCACCCTGAAATTATAGAGGAAATATTTATTTAGACAACCAAATGCATGCCAGAAACACCAATTTTACACAACTGACAGCTCCCTTCTCCTCCCTTGTTGCACCAGCCAGCACCAAATCAACTCCATCTGGGTCAGGGAGTGGACGGGATCGCCATCTGGTGGAGATACCTCGGTATTGCATTGAAATGACAATTTTGCCGTTTTCACACCTGTATGTGTGAAAAGACTATAGACCTTATAATACATAAAAAGGGACAGGGTATGTCTAGATGCAAATGGCAAAAATATTCACATCTCGTACATCTTGCATGGCACAGAAATGACCTCTAGCATGACACAATGACAATAAAAAATAAAGATGCACAAAGGCAGAATTCACATGCAGTGTGTTCTCCACGGCATCTAATCTGTCCTAACCCACACATTTTTTTAGGGAGATTCACAGCTAATCATTGGAGATGATTTAATATTTCTCGTTAGTTTTAGCACGATGAAGTTAAAACAAGACCTAAAGATAAGCTATAAGACAGAAAAAAGAAAGAACGACCAAAATTTAGAAAGTAAGCATGTAAAACTGAATTAAAAGAATACAGATCTGCAAACACTCAACAAGAATCTGAGCCTAAAAACAAATAATTGGTCCGCCTATGTGAATCATGGCCTATCAGCCACGTTTACAACTGAATAGAAAAAATAATATCAAAAATAAATGCAACCCTTTGAACAATAAACAATAACCAGCAATAAATAATCAAGTGGTGTTCTGCTGTATATATATGTACATATACTAGAGTCATTCAGCATTCAGCCTAACATAGACTGATTTAGCAAATCAAAGACGCGAACGTATGAAATATGAGTAATAATAATTTAGAAATACACTACAGACATTATGGAAATATCTAAAAACATCTTTCAAAAGACGTTCTATCATTTTTACGCAACCGACATTTAAAACGATCATCTAGACGGCTGTAATCGGCAGATAGTTCGACTATGCAACTGGCTTGGAAGAGCTTATTCATTCAACTCATGCACGTTGTATTTGAAACCTAAATCTTGGCAGAAATGGTCACCACAGTTATTGACTGTTTTTAGTCAGTCAGGCCCACTTGATTATCTGAAACATAATTAACACGAACATCAAAACGCTTCTGAGGATCAGAGGTTAGACAAGCTGTTACTAAGGCATGCCTTAATTTCACCTTTGACCAATTGTGTCCATAATTACTTACTGTTGTTCTATGTACAGTACAATGCTTGCTTATATATTACAGTCTTTACAAATCTAAGCAACTGGCTTCCAGTTTTCCAGGTGCCCAATTCACTCCACCATGTCTTTTTTTTCATATGTTGTCATTTCGACAAAAGAGTTCTTCTTCTTTTTCCATTGGCACTATCCCATCGTATCGCAAAGGATTTTTGGCAAACGACCGCCGCGCATCCTGATGAAAACATCACGTGTATGACGTCGGATCTGTAACACTAGGAGTGTAAAAGGTCTTTGCTGTCACATCACAACGACAAAGTCAATGTGCTTTCCCTGGTGAACAAGAGACGTGAGCAGGATTCACCGTTTTTGAGTTTTGTGCTATCGATTATACACGCTTGTCTGTTGTATGGGTGACTGATTCAGATGTTTACAAGTGTCTGTTGAGTGTGCGTGAGTGTATCTCACACGCTGCGCGGTGGTCTCTGCTGTTCGTGGGTCCTGCGGTTGCGCCCCCTCTTGTTCTCCTGAAGTTGTTTCCACTTGGCTGTGTTAGGAGGTCCTCTTTGTGGGGTCTGGGTGCCTCTTTTTCCCTGGTTAGGTTGTGCTCTTTGGTTCTCAGGAGCACTTTGGATCTTCTGCGTGCTTTGAGTGTCTGGTTTGATGCTTTGGCTCTCCGTGCTCACTGTACTTCCCGGGATTTGACCTCTTTGCAAACCTGTGGACTTTGGGAGAATCTGAGCAGTTGGGTTGTTCTGCACTTTTGGTGTGTTTTGCACCCTCTGCGTTGGGTTCTGCAAACTCTGAGGCGTCCTTTGAGGGGTCTTATCTGTTTTTGTCCCGACGCCAGCTATGGGGTTGACTTTGGGGGTTTTCTTTCCCTTTGGCTTCTTCTCTCGCTTCCAAACGCGCTCGCAGAACTCATCCACACTGTTGAGGTCTGGGTGCTCCAACAGGCTCATGAAATCCCGGTACCAGAGTTTGTGTTTAGGGGAAGGATCCTTATCGTTGGCGCCTGCTCGGAGCAGCAGCTCGCCCACGCGCTGAGATGGGATGACCTGAAGATTAATACGCCGCAGGGGCTGGATGAAGCCGTGCTCGACGGCGTGGCAGTGGTACACTCCCGAATCGGCCTGGGTTAGACTTCGGATCAGCAGACCCTGGCCTGTAAGACTCAGCCTTTCATCAATCACAATCTGACATGGAGAAAAACAGATTGAGTTTATTAACACTTTTTCATAAGATGGGATTAGACACATCTTCTAAAACACTAAAATTGACCCTAGTATTTAGTTTAGTATTTGTAACACTACTTCTCTCATGCCACTAGAGGACACTGTTGTTTCAATCAAACAACTACATTGTACCATACTGTCATACAGACTTAAGGATGATGTGAGATTTCTATGGTAAAATATTTTAGCTTTATACACCAATAATTAAACCTCTGCGGCACTTTCAACTTTGCCCAACACAGCAACACTTAGCAGTCGGAAAATATCGAGAGCACTCTGTCCCGTCCCAGGCACAATACGGATCTCTTGCCAGGCAGCACTCGGCACAGGCCTTCCCGTAGACCTCACAGCGGTGCAGGGGCATCTGGGAAATCCCTAAATCTGACCCGAGGTACAGCTGTTGCTGTTGACAGATGAACATATAAGTCTATTAGGACACGGTTTGCTCTCTGCTAATGGCTGGTGAAGAGTAATATCAAGCAGACGTACTTGTTTAGTGGAGAGCTCCATGGCAGTAATAGGTGTTGGCTCCTAGAAGGGAAAACAGAACAAGTTTAATCTCATTTTAAGATCCGAGGATATTTTTTTGATGACATACTGTGGCCGTGCAGACAGATTTATGGGGGAGCAATTAAATGTACTAAGGTGAAAATTATAGTTGGAGGATTTCGATTCCAATAGCAAGCAGAAACGCACAGCTCTCTGGGTAATGAACAGTTGGCACTCATACCCTGAACACCGTCATCTCTTCCAGCACCACTTCCTCCAGATCATGCCAGCTTTCCCTGGGAATGGTCACCACCTTCAGCACAGTTCCTAAATCTGATTTAAGATTAGAATTGTTTTAATATTCATAATTTGTAAAATATTTCTCAGTAATTGTAACAGTAATTTTTTTTCTCATGCGCCAATAAAATAAATTAATAAATAATATGAGTTGAAATGACATGAAAGTGGATAAAAAATGACAGTTTTTAATTTTTGTGTGAAACTCTTCAAAAAAAATTCTAAAAGGAAGTTTTTGAACCATTTTTGGTTTCCAAGGAATCTTTCTGTAAACATTTCTTTTTTTTTCTTTGTGAAGGACAACTACAAAAAAAATAGATATAAAAAATTTCATTGTTGTGCCTCTCCAAACAACACACATTAATGAATAACTCAGCGGTTTTGAAAAAATCAGTAAAATAAATTAACCTGTGACTCGCTCATAGACAGTCACTTGATTTGTTCCTGAATTAATCAGCATTTTTGAACAAACTAGTTGAATGAA